CCAGATGCAGAGGAGAATCAGGGACTGTATGTAAACACAGGCTGGAATTGCATTTCTCTGAATGCCTGCCTGTTTCTAATACATCTGCATAGACATGGGAATGTGTGTGCACACCTGGGCAACAATTCCATATCCAAACACTATCTCAGAAGCCATCTGTGTGCGAACGTGCACTGGCATGATTCCTCATTGTTTACGTTAATGATGTCACCCTTTCCACAGTCTATGTCCCTCCCACCACGGACCAATTCAGACAAGGCACCCAGAATTCCCAAGCCACCCTGGTGAACCTAAATACAGGCTTAGTCATAAATCCCATTGGAGAGATGAAGAGATCGTATGCATATGGTAAGAAGCCAAGCAGCTGCTGTGTAGAATGGCATGCATTCTGTAGGCAGTCTCATATAAATTAATCTATATATTGGTGTCACAGTGCTCACAGAAAGTCTTGGGTCACTTGCTTAATTCAGTAAAAAGTTTGCAAATATACTGGTTTTCATAACAAAAATGATTACATATTTTTTACAAAAAATATATTACATTGGAAACAACCAGTAGTTTTAAGTAAAACATTCATTTCAAGTAGTAATAAATTGGAACCCAGATTATAGTTCTAAAAGAGCTGTTCTGAGTTAAAATGTTCATTGACAAGCAGTCTCATTGGGGGCTTTTTAATCAGTAACACCTTTGTAATAACATAAAACACCAGATATTTGTGTTTAGTTTCCCTTTGGCAGCCAATGACAACAGTTGCAATTAACAGCAAAATGGCAAGATCAGAACCTGAATGAGTCAGTCAAAACAATTAAGACACTTGATAAAAAAGAAAATGTCTATGCTAAAAAAAGGTATGTTAAATATTACTTGGCAATGGACCTTCGTTATGAAACTAATAAATTTGCAACATTTTTCCAGAATTAAGCATGCACCCCAAAACTTCCTATCTCTGTAGGGCAGTGTTTCCCAACCCAGTCCTCGGGGAACCCCGGACAGTCCACCTTTTTCCCCCCTCCCAAGTCCCAGCCGATCAGGAACACCGAATACCTGGTACAGGAAACACGTGACCTCAACTCTGTGTTACAGCGAATAAACCCTAACCTTAACCTTAACCCTAACCCTAACCGGAGCTCCACTTTACGTCCTTAAAGATCATGTGTTTCCTGTGGAGGTGACGTATTTCGGGTGGAGTTCCACTCTACAGACGTCTGCAGCTAGACCCTCTTGGGTACAGGTGCGCTGGTAACTGAGAGGAAGCAAAAACGTGGACTGTCCGGGGCTCCCCCGAGGAATGGGCTAGTAGTCACTGCTGTAGGGTGTTAAATGGCTGATCACGGACACAATTTCTCTTCTCAACGTTCAGCACTGCAGTACCGACTATCCCCTTCCAAGTTCACTGGCTGCTCTCATTAAATGGGGGGTACTCTAACTTTTCCAGTGTATGTCCCTTCCTCGCTGGACAAGTTCAGGCAAGGCACCCAGAACTCACAGGCCATCTTGGTGCACCCAGTGACTGGTGAAATACTACATGTGGCTGGGGAGATGCAGAGAAGCTACTGGCTAAATGGTGAGGGATCTTAAATCAGAAACACGTGTAAACATGCATGATCAGGCACAAGTGACAGACTAACGACAGCACTGTATGTGCAAGTGTGCACATCTGCCACTAGAGGGAGCCATGCATGCATGGTCTATGACTCACATACTGAAATACATACATGGAACCATGTTTAATCTGAGCCCCAATACGGACTGTGTATTCACCAGACAAGTCTAGACAGCAACCACAGGCTGCAGCGTTGGAACCCGCCTGCAATGGTGAGGTCATCAGCGGCAAGTGTTACCTCTTCTTCTCCAGTCCCCAGACATTCAGCGAGGCGGAGGTGAAGCATTCGCCCTGAACATTACTCCGTATCCATGGTGATAGTGTCTCATGGCATCATGTGGTCACATACATCTAAGAGCGGTTTATGTACCATCATACACGTGGTCAGGCTGAAGAAAAATCAAACCAAACCAAAAAAGTCATATTTCCATTTCCACCGCGTGTCAGAGATTGTGTGACAGAAGCAGCCTGCCCAGAGCAGAAGCACTCAATTCTACTGCTTACGTTTCCATAATTACAGTAACCACTGCTTGAGTCCCGGTAATATGAATATAATAAAGAATTAAACTGGTTCATAATGACTATGATGGCTGAATGTTCATACTCCCAGGCCATATGCCGGTCCGTATCCCCGACTGGCCACCTGGCCTCCGTGACGAGCCCCCAGCTGCACTCCCAGCTCGCCTTCATGGTGACAGAGGCCAACAAGGGTCCTACTCTCACCTGGCTGGGAGGAGTTGTTCAGGTGCACACCCCCGCCCAGGAACAAACTCCTCTTCTGCATTATTGCTATCACTGCCATAATACATGTTAACAAAATCACACAACCACTTAAACATGAACGTCTGTCTATTTCTTTAATAGCTAGCTTTTCATTTAAGGCTACTTGTGCATTTATGACTGAGAAATATGTACTTTGCTGTTAGGATTATCATCATCATCCATAGATTCTTTAGTCATACTAAAAACTATAATCCTTTCTTTCATAATGGCATTAATCATCTGAATAACAAAATAATTCCAGAAACTGATGCATTACTTGCCATAATGGAGAGTTTGTATGTATGTGTTTACTTCAGGCTGACTCTCAACAATGGACAGACGGCTCTTCCTGGACATACAGTGACTGGATGCCAGGTCAGCCCAAACCAGAGAAGCACCAGAAAGAGTGCCTAGAGATGTTCAAAATCGGTGAGATTTCTATCATTTTTATTTCCACTCGGTACTGATGGGGAAATATCAGATTGCATAAATAAAACATGTCATAACTATTGAGTGACCCAGTAAAGCGTCCTGCTTTGAACAGTTAAGCTGTATCAAGAATTTTACAGCTGTGGTAAATAAAATATAGACGTTGAATCAATGCCATAAAATAAATAATTTGGTACAATACATTGTCAAGTTGCTGGTTATCATCGGCCAGAGTTCAGCTTTGTCAGCTTTGAAGATTTGTAATTGCTTTAAAGAGCAGCAGAGCAATCAGATAATGAAAGCAGTTTGATCAAACGGTTGCTGACCTAAGAGCACATAAACACACACACACACATATAAAATAGCTTCTCCATTGCTACCTGTGACAACATCTGAAAGGGCCTGGAAGGAGATTTGCTGAAGGGCTGGAACATTATGTGCTTCTGAGAGTGGGACAGCATACCAATAAGAAAACCTGGAAAAACACTGCTCTTATTTGGCAATGGGAAGCTAATTCCCCAGTATACACACTGCCCACACAAACTGTCAGAAATGTGTGCTCATTTACAGTAGAGGATTTTAGCCTTGAGAAGAAAAACTGAAAGTTGTGGAGGACATACGGGAGGCTATACCCCAGAATTTTTCAATATGTGACTGTGAAGGGGTGAGTATGGCTATATTTGTGTGTACCATTGAAGTTCAGCTTAAGTTTCTTTTTGGACAGGTGAGAGATGGTGGAGCACAGCGAACTGTAGATCCAAAAGAGCCTTCATCTGCTCCTATCCTGCTGCAGCATGAGTGACGGATAGCCTCTCCCTCAGCAGTCTCTTCATAAAACGTCAAATCACGTTATATGCCAATTAAAGTACTTCTGTGATCACAAATGCATTTATGTTAAGTGTTTTTCATAACATCACAAAGTAATGGATATCAAAAGCACCCGCCTAATTCTTGCACAAGTGCTGGAAAAAACGTAGACAAATTGTATTCTTGTTTTACTTCCCTGAATCCAAACCCAAAACAGACACAATTTTTGTAATATGACTTGAACCAACATTTGTATAGTCTCAGTGCAGGCATCTGTTAATTATGCTTGCTTCGTGTTATTAATTGTCCATTAAGAGTAAGTTTGCCATAGCTAGAAATAAGTTTAACCAATGTTAGCCAAACAGTGCGTGTAAAACGTTAATAATTAATGTTAAGGGAGGATTAATATACTCGGTCTAAGTAGAGCGCAAAATGAATGGGGTCGACAGTAAATATATGAGTCAAATGAAAATAACCTTTTTTCCAACTAAAACACACCCCATTAATTATATAATGTTTTACCCCCTTTTCAAATGATATTAGAGATCGATGGACGGGACATAATAAAAATCATATTGCCAGCGTTATCGTTGATGGATGCAATAATTTATGTCCGTGGCTTGCCCTAATACGGGCAGTGGGCGTCCCCTGCTGCCCAGTGTATAGGCGTTAAGCAGCCGTACGACTAAACGCTTTTGAATTAGACGTATTTTCATTTCCCCAAATAAATAGCCTAAAATAACGAGCAATCGTCGTTCCTATACTAATACCTCCACTACACAGTAATGCAGAATGTAGTAAAACATACAGCCATTTATTACAGCTGCTAGAAAAGTCAGCCGCCATTTTGGACAGCTATCCCGTTAGAGTCGGGCGACTCCAGACGAGTGCCCTCTAGCGTCACATGGTGGCCTAGCGGGTGGGGCGGACGGCCGCGCATAGCATGCTGGGGGAGAGGAGGACCCGGCTGCTAGTCAGTGTCATGGCGACCGGCAGCGAACGGCTTATTCGGGAGTTCGCGATGAATGCAACGAAGGAGTCCGAAGGCGAAGGTCAGCGCACTGGGTAAATATGGGTTAGGGGTAGTTCTTGCAAGGTGCGCGGCGGGACCGCGCGGGCGACGAGTGACGGCTGGGACAATAAACGCGGGCCTGGGCCGTCGCGACGGATGGACGGCGTGCCTTTTGTGTTTGTACGCCGCGTCGCAGTTAGCAGCCTCTTTGTATGTTATTTCCCCGCCTCGGTGAGCTACACGGGTCAACCGGGGCAGCTAGTTATAGATCAGCATTCGCACCGAAGTTGCTCCAAAAAGCTTTAACTAGGTAAGGAACTCCGGTTCTGATAATTTTCCGCTTTAACCAGCATTTGCCGCGGCTGTGTGGGTCCGGGTTAAATGCTCTTAGTTTTAGCAAATGTTAGCTAGCTGGCCATTAGTTCTTTTGCAGATTGCGCATGGTTAACTCATAACTGGGTTATTTTTTTAGCTGGTGAGAATGAGAGGGTCCCTGCCGCTTTCGTTTAGCCCACGTCGGTAGCATGCGGCGCTTACAGTCGGCCGCCATCTGGAGTGTTTAGCCGAGGCCGCTAACGTGGGTGTCGCGGTTACGCGGCGCGTGCCCGTTAAAAGCGTCATTTTCGTTAAGCGCGGTTAAGGCCTGTGTTACAGATTGAGTGTCCCGAGTTGCTGTGTTTGAGTGGAGTTTATCGACATTTGATTTACTCCGCGGCGTTTTCGGGCCTCATTCGCACGATTGACTGTGTAAAATGGATGGCAGTGCGGCCCGCCGTAGTGTAGCCGCACGGCGGGGGGAGGCGGGTTTTCCCGCTTCGCCGAAATGGTCGCTGGGTGGCGGGATGGGGGGTCAAAGTCGAGCGCCTGTGTCTTCTCTGTCCTTCTCCGGGCCATACTGTTAAGGTTACGCCTGTATGAGTTTTATCAGCTTTCACATGCGCTGGGTTAATGGTGTCATCGTTTAACGCCGATCCTTCCTCACTATGGCGTCTGAGTAGCTGGCGGAGGCCGACCGGCCGCTTCAGTGTGGGGGGTAAGGGGTGTTGAATAAGCCGCCGTCGGTAGCTGTGTATCCGGTCCATTTAAATTCCTTGAACTCGGGTTGACCATATCTGTGATTGATTATTCTTGTTGTTTAATAGACGGGTATAAGTTAGCAGTCGATGGAGGTGTTACAAGGATTAAATCAGACTGGTGAAGGTTTCGGCGTCACTGGTGTTATTAATGGTTATGGGTTTATTTAGGTAGTTGATGTTGCTTAGGGTCGTTTTTGTAACGATTGTGTTTGTCCATGAGCATGTTGCAGGCTTATGTAGTTTGATTGTAATGCAGTATGGACGTATTTCTCGCGTTTTATATCCGTTATGTGATGTTCTGCATATCAGTAAAGTGTCCACGTGTTGGTTGGAAAAAGTTAATCTCTTCATTTTGGACGTATCCCCGTTTAAAGCCCCGCTCTGGCTACTGCTGTAAATTAGATCGTGTAATACGGTTATTTTGTGACAGCCCTCAGATACGATTGGTCTTTTAGTGGTAAACACCAACAGGGCTCTTGTGCTGGTGTGTACAGGCTCGATAATAGAAGTTTAGCGTCAATGTTCTGCAAAGAATTCTTTTGGTTTGTTTGGTGCCAGAAACTAACCTATCAGATAATGTGGTATGTGGGTTTCACATCTGGTGACTGGGGGGCGGGAGGGTTATGAATACACTGCATCTTGCATTATTTTCATCTGCCTCCTTATATGCTTTTGGACTTAAGAACTGATGTTATGATCTTCCCCAGGAGATCATGAATAAAAATATCTTGAATAATTTTCATTAAAAACTTGTTTTCTTAGCAAGTATAGTAGTGTATACATTATTGGCTGTGGCCATTTGCTAGTACCACATGTATCTGTCAGTCACTGATGATCTTAGCCTTGATGTGGCATTATGGGTGCTGTATGGTAATTGTCTGTAAGTTAACTGCTTAGCTTTCTTGCAGAGTGATGAGTGACAGACACCAAAACGGCGGAGTATCTCGCTCTTTGGAAAACTTAGGCCCCGTGAAAGAAGCTGCTCTTACCATGGACAGCCAGGGGGAGGCACCGATGCACCACCACACTGCTGTGACAATGGAATCTGCTGGAAAAGCATATCCAGGTTTGTGGCCTTCTATAATGATCTGGTTGTGGTAGAAACTGAAATTTTGCTTCTGCTATACATTGTATTTTATCATTTAATTAACCGACTGTGCTGGGAAAATTTGGTGGTTGATATTTGATAGTCTGCTGCTGACTACTTGGAGAAATGTTTTGAGCTGACAAAACATTGGGAAGATTTTTTTTGTAAAGTTCTTATGTCTGTTAGAATGTGAATGCCTCAGTGTTTGTGCCTGCCTGTGTATCTCTTATAGTCTGCTTTGCTAAATGTATGCACTATCAATGAATAATATCTACCACTTGAGGGGAAGGGCAGATCAAATGGTGTGATGTCTTGTCTAGAAGAGGGAGGCTCAGCAAACCCTGTGGAAATGATTCCGATCAAGGAGGGTAGTGAGACGTCCCGTAAGAAAAGCAAGAAGCATAAAAGGCACAAAAAGAAAAAGAAGAAACGCAAGGAAGGGAAAGAGAGCAGCTCTGAATCAGGGGTTGACTCTGATCGAGAGGCACAAAATCAAGCGAGGTAAGTTTCCTTAAACTTCTCGGTTTAAGTGTATGAAAATATTTCGATATTCAAAACATGAGTACATGTGGAATAATTCAAGTGTTAAAAAGGGGATTATGTTCTCAAGTACAAGAACTGCAATGCAAAAAAGGTTTTAGCTGCAAAAGTACCATTTTTGCCTCGAATACAATTAATTATTTTGATTAAACTAATAATGACAATTTATTTGAATGAATTAAGATTATTCTATTTCTTTTCCACAAGTTTGAAGAACCATTCTCTTATTGAAGAGGATGGAAGCAGATTTTGTCGTAATGATGTTAAAGATTCAGCTGGAGGACTGATAACAGGTAACCAGCATTTTGTTCAAAGGATTGTAGCAGTGAATTTTTATTACAATTGTTATTTGGTATGTTCATTGCTGGCTACATGGGTGTGAGCATCAAATGCAGTGAGTTTTCCAAATATGGAAATATGTCAGTGTTTTAAACTTATGGTCTTGATAGATGGACTGTCAGTGTGTTTCACAAGGTTCTGTGAGGTGAGCAAGGTAACTTTTACATAGTAGTGTAAATAATGATTTTGAAAATTGTGCCATTTAAAATATTTAATTGCTCTTATTAGATCTACATGTGGAAAAAGAGGATGGCAAAACTAAAAAACAAAAGCATTCTAAGAAGAAGAAGAAGAAGAAGAGAAAAGGAGAGAAAAAGTCTCCTTCCCATTCAAGATCAGAGAGCACTTCTGTTTCTGGGTCTGACTCTGAACTAGAGTCCAGGCCTTCATTACCATCCACAGTACCCTTGGACATTAAGGAACATGAGGAGCATCCCCGTCCTTTGAAATACTTGGGCAAGGTTGAGTCTGCCATGAAACCTTTTAGCAAGACAGAAGAGCATTCTCCCATGAAAACCTTGGTCAGCAAGCCTGAAGTGAAGGACTCTACAGTGAGAATGCTGGACAAGCCAGAAGGGAGAGCATCTCCAATGAGAGCCTTAGACAAGTCTGAGGAGAAGCATGAACTCACGACAGCCCTGGATGGCTCGGAAGTCCAAGAGATACCCATGATGCTTTCTGCTAAATCCTTGGAAGTGCATGGGATGATGGAGTCTTCCCAATTCTTGGACAGTGATGGGGGGAATATTAGAGGGATTCCCTGCTCAGACAAGCCTCAAGAGAGGGCTTCTCAGCTGTCTTTTAGTGAAGATAATGGAAGCACTAGTTTTGAGGCTGAGAGTGTTAAAACCAAGGGGGGGACCCAAAAACCAAATTTTGCAGAAAGTCATAAAATGCCCATTGAAGATTCTTCCTTGGAGGCTGCAGAGAATGTTGTCAGTTTGGGGAACACTGGGGATCAAGTAAGTTTTTGCAAAGCTCAGGATTTGCCTGATATAATTCCTAAACTTCAGGGTACACAAGACGAAGAGCCTGTTAAAGGAGAGTCTATCTCAAAGGACAAAGAAGCGGAACCAGGCGCCAAGCATGAAAAGAGACATGGAAGCAGCTCTAGATCGCGGTCAAGATCAGCCTCAAAGGCAAAAAAAGAAACATCACAAAAAACCATATCCAAAAAAAGTCTTAGCCAGTCTCGAAGCCCAAAACGAGCCTCTGGTAAACCTAGTACCCGAAAAGATCGTTCATCATCTAGAAGAAGGACTAGATCTACCTCACGAAGGAGGATCAGTCCGCGGAGGCGCTCCAGGTCTCATTCAAGGAGACGTAAATCTAGATCACGATCCATCCAGAGGTCAAGGCGCAAATCTAGGTCCTACTCTCCCAAGAGGATTCAAAGATCCAACTCTCGCACGCGTAGGCGGTCAAAGTCAAGGTCTCCGCGTCGCAGACATAGCCGATCTCGTTCGGTTGTGCGGGTGCGTAGGTCTCGGTCGCGATCTCGTTTTAAGTACAGACAGTCGCGATCCAGATCTAAGAGGTCCCGTTCTCGTCGAAGGTCACGCTCTGCAAGGAGGGGCAGACGCTCAAGGTCCCGGTCTCGGTCCCATTACAGGAGATCTGTGTCCCGTTCCAGAAGGTCACTGTCTAGGTCCTATAAGCGAGCCAGAAGGACTCGCTCCAGGTCCATTGTTATCCTCAGGCGATCAAGATCAAGATCTCTCCTAAGAAGATACAGACGGTCAAGATCTTTAAGGCGGAACCGATCAAGATCCCTGAGAAGACGGCGATCTAAAACTCGGTCACCACGACGATCTAGGCGTTCTAGGTCTAGGTCTCGATCGAGGAAGAGACGGTCAAAATCTCGATCTCTGAGGAGAAATAGGTCGAAGTCAAGATCAGTTCAGCGCAATAGACGTTCCAGGTCAAAGTCTCCAGGCAGACGCCATCGGTCAAAGTCTAAATCTCCCAAAGGTGACCGAAAACCATCTAAATCACCTGAGAGAAGTAAACACTCAAAATCTGCTTCTCCCAATAAACCCAAATCGAAATCTGGATCTGTTTCTAGGGAGCAGCAGTCATCTGAAGCCAGTCAGTCTTCAGCTGAGGAACCACAAGGCCCTAAAGCAACATCCCCAACCCTAGAAAATGTTGATCCCCCAACACAGGAAATTCAGGTGGAAGATGATGTTCCTGTCAGCAATGAGGAACCAAGCCTTTTCACAGAAATAAGTTCTGCAACTGTGAGTACGGTGAAACAGTTTGTGGAAGAGGAAATTGCCTCAACCTTTTCTGTATCTGAGGAAAAGCCCTCTCGTGTGTCTGTGGAGAGTAGTGTTGATACAGAGGCAACTGTTGTGACTGCGGGCTTCTGGAAGCCGGTACCTTTCTTGAGTATCTGCAAGGAACCACCTGTTTCCACAGAATCTGTTTTCAGCCCATCTTCAGAGGCTAGAACTGCAATCGAAATTGAACCACATGAATGTTTACCAGTGGCTCTCACTGAAAAGTGCATATCCCCTGAGACTTCGTCAAATGAGCAGGGTTTATCTGATCTTAAGCCTCTGCACACTGAAATTGAGTCACCAGCTTCTGAAAAAAATATTTTCCACACCTCTGAGAGGCCATGTGCTTTTGAGGATGGAAATCAGCTCATTACCAGTAGGTCAAGGTCTGTCTCACCACATTCTGACAATCCATCAGAACCATTGCCTGAGTTACCAGACAGCTCTATGGCTGAAGAGCCAGATTCTTTGGCTGCTGAAATTGAGAAACCTGCAATTGACACAGAAGCTTCCAATGACCATAGAAGTTCTGCACCAGGGACCCCAACAGAGTGCATACCAGAAATTAAAATTCAGCTAGATCGTTCAAGATCACAGTCAGCTGAACGTGCAAGTGAAGAGAGGCAGTCTGAAATGAAATCTCCATCTGAAGGTCCAAAGGAAAAACCATCTAAACTGCGGTCCTCGAAATCCCCCTCCAGGAAGACCCTCTCAAAGTCTAGATCTTCCTCGAGAAGAAAGAAAACAAAGTCACGATCTCCCACTCGTCGAAAGCATTCAAGATCCAGCTCATCTTCTGTTAGAAAGCTTTCTAATACTCGAAGGAAGAAGTCAAAATCCAGATCTCCGGTGCGGAAGAGGAAATCCAGATCTCCATCCCACAGTAGGAAAAGGAAGTCTAAATCTCGATCTCCCACAAGGAGGCAGCGGTCAAGATCCAGATCAACTAGGAGGAGAAAATCAAGATCGAAATCTACAGTGAGAGCGAAGGGTTCAAGGTCTCGGTCTACAAAAAGGAGGCGTTCAAAAACTAGATCTCCCGTGAGAAAGAACCGTTCAAAGTCTCGTTCGCCTCGGAAAACAAAGCACTCGAAATCTCGATCTGCCACTCGACGGAGGAAATCCAAATCTGCAGAAAAATCAAAGCGTTCAAAAACCCGCTCCCCTGCTAGGAAGAGACGGACAAGGTCCCGTTCTGCAACAAGGACTCGGCGTTCAAGGTCGAGGAGGTCGCGATCACACTCTAGACGGAGAAGAAGTTTCCGCAGTCGTTCTTTTGATCGACGGGACCGTTGGAAGCGTGAGCCAAGTCACTCCCCCATTCTCATCCTCCGCAAGAAGAGGTCCGCCTCCCGTTCTCGGCGCAGCTCCAGCAAAACCCCACCTCGGCTCACAGAGCTCGGTAAGGCCACATTGCTGGTCATAAAGATTTTTTTCAGTAGCTGAATATTAATTTCATCCGAATAGTGGTTAATGAGTTTGATATTGAGGTTTAAGTGTTGATTCAGTCTTGTTTTTGTGATCATAAAACAATTTTTTGTGAAACTGATCTCATGAAAAATTAATGTCCAGCCCTGTCTCTTGCAGACAAGGACCAGTTGTTGGAGATTGCCAAGGCAAATGCAGCTGCCATGTGTGCCAAGGCAGGGATGCCTATCCCAGAGAGCCTGAGACCCAAGGCTATCCTGCAGTTGCCTCTGCCAACCCCTGCTCCCTCACCCCTGAATTTGCCCTTGCCTCTGCCTATGAACCTTCCCATGAGTCTGCCTATGGGCATGCCCAACATCAGCATGAATGCGGCCATGGCCACCATGACGGCCGCCACTATGACAGCCGCTTTGACCAACATGGGCGCCCTGGCAAACATGCCCGCTCTGCCAACTATAACAAACAAGCCCCCGCCTGTGCCCGTGCCCAACACCGCTAACATTGAGGAGGCAAAGAGGAAGGTGACCCAGACAGCTAACAGCATCAGCATCAAGGAGCTGACAGAGGTTAATGCTCTCTTATGAAGGATTATACAAGTATTGTTTTTAGAAATGGCAAGGCCTGTTTCTTGCCTTCGCCTAACAGAACTTTTGCTAGTTGTTAACGAGAGTGTCACTGTAATGGAACCTGCAATGCCATGTCTGTGTTCTCTTACAGAAGTGCAAGCAAATTGCAGAGAGCAAGGAGGAAATGGCCATTGCCCAGCCCCACGTTTCTGATGATGAGGATGTAAGACCACCCTTCTCACAGAACTTAGCATGCAACTTTACTGCTCTTTAATCGTCCATGGGTTAAGGGTAGTTTGGTTACCTTGGAATCTCATATTCTAATTCTGTTCATTATTACATGATTTTTTTTTTTTTTACTGAGAACTTTGGTTTTCATTCAGCTAAACACTATTCTTCTTGTTCCAGTAAGTCCTACCCGCTCCCCTCTCTCCCCGCCCTTCTGTGATGTCTGCACCTGATTGCATCTGCAACATCTTACAAGGAGCAGCGTTTAGAAGCCTTCTTGCCTTGCGTCATGGTGTCATTAGGGTCATTGGATCAGAACAAGGAGGGAGGGAGTCTGGGACAATGGAGGGAAACCATGCAGCACAGAGAAGATGAGGGCTGCACCAACCAAGATGACTGCAGTGCAAGTGTTAGAGCACCAACTGTCTTTGCCCCTGCACCTTCCAGGTTGGAAGCACCTTTTTCCGTCGGGTGTCCTGACAGATGCTGAGAGCGACTGTGGCTCTAAGGTGTGAACAAGGGGTTCGGCAACTTTCATGAAACTAGTCCCCCCAACAAACGTGCGTTCCCAGGTTTCTCTTCTGCCTACCTGGGTTCAGGAGAGGAAAAACGGCACGCCCTCGTTCTCAAACGCAACACCTTACTGGGGTAATTGGAGACTAAGGACAGACTGTTTGCCCAAATTGATACCAAATTGGTCAGCATATTTACTAGGATACCTTGTGATTTGCCGTACTTGAATTTCTGCTTTTATTTTGCTTTTAAGTCATTTTTAAACCCTTCGGCTGCTGGCGGGGCAGCTGAATGACTTACTGTCTTGGTGCAAATTCAGTATTAGTACACCCTTAGGCCTTTCTGGGACTCCACGTGTTTTTGGAAATATAACGAATAATAAATAAAGGAGTAGACAGTGTCCAATTAAATATTTCTTTGGCAGATTTAAATGTTTCAAAGCTTCCGAAGTTTTGACACTTGTCCAGAAATCGACGCAAATAATGCTTAACTAGATAATTGCCCTGAAGCACCTTTCTGTATCAGGGCTTTTCTGTAGAGTGTAATTAAGAACCAGTCATCAGCTTCTTAGTTCAATTTCACTTATTAAAAAAAGAAAAAAAAAAATACTGAAACTGCATACGAAACTTTTTTTGACAAATTCTTTGTGGTCTGATGCTTTTGACACCTTTTCTGTGTAATTTGTGTGTTATTTTTTTGTGTATTTTGTGCATCTTTACATGCATTAACACATCGCTTAATTTTATTTTTCCCTCTCTGGATGCTCATTCATTGGTTGGACAAAGTAATGTCTGTCAGAATTCGGTTAAAGACCCCCTGAGGGGCTTCGATGTCCCCCCAGGGATCGTACCTCTGGGATGCATAGGGTTGCCTGATGACTTTGGGATGGATATATATGTATATATATATATACATATATATATACACGCGCGCGCGCACACACACACACACATATATACACATAATTTTTTTGCTTCCTAATCATTGCAAATGCTTCTGCGCTGAAGTTCAGTTAAAATATGGGCCTTGGGAACGTTGCCCGTCGTAACTATCACCACCCCCCCCTTGTTGCTTGTTCACGCACGCGCATAATCACATGTGCAACACGCATCCTTGCATATAGCTCAGGTGGCATGTGCTTTACTGTATTTCTACGGCCTGGTTGTGCTGTAGCTATCACTCGACCAAAATTACTAAGCTTGTGCTGGCAAAGGGATGAGGTGACCATCTCGACAGGTGTCGGGGGGGATTGCCTGTGGAGACTGAAGGCAGTCCTTTTGGGCTGCTCTGTGGACAGGTATTGTCTCACAGCCTGGATGTTCCCAGTGAGCATTTTCGCTCGGCTCAGCTGGATATCTGCAAGCGCAGAACCACAACGTTCCCGTTTGGGTCTTCGAGTGTGTGAGAGTAAGGTTTCCACACTGGGTTGTTTTGCTATCTGGACCTCTGTTTAAAAGGCAGATTTGATTAAGGGTCTCGATTCAAGGTTCACCACGCGTTGTGTCCATTGTGATGTCCAGTCTAGTAATTCTGTATGATGTTAGTACTCCATCCTACTGTTGAACCAGACCTTCTAAATAAAACATCTGGCTCTGTCTTTTTATATTCTGTAAAATGTCATTTTAGTATTTTTTAAAGCTGTTAGTTGGTTTGCTTTGTACATAATGCTATGTGGATTATTAAAGGAAGCCCTGAAAACTATTTTTTTGTGGTTTGCTGTGGCCCTTGGATACTGGTGTGTGAGAGTTTTGGGCAACATTTCTGGTTCTACTGTTTGTCGTAAGTAACATGATCACCTTTAAAGTGGTTAATCTGTTAAACAATATTGCAGGTTTGTGACTACATCATACATCACCAGGCTGTATTTAATCTGCTCTTGACGGTTCTTAAAATGGCCACTAGATGGAGGCATTTCCTCACTAGTGCCATCGTTTTCATGAGCTGTTCCTAACGGCATTTTAAAAGGGGAAGTAACTAAGCGTCTTTTTTTTTATATATATAACCTATGTGGGCAGCTGTCATTGCATAAGATTAAGACCTGTTACATGTCTTAACAAAATCCATGAAATATGAACTGTTGAAAAGAGCGATCGAATGTTTAGTGTCTGTATAAAGTTTCAGGCTGGTGGGCCTTATAGTTAGAATGGGTCAGAATCGCCTGGGGCAGTTCTGGACAATGTTATGGACACTTGATTTGAGCTTACCTACGATGTTGTACCAAAAGCAAATTCTACTAGCCTCGGACATGTGGTCATTAAAAATTGTGATTCTGGCAGAGATCTTTGTGTCCTTCTCGGGGTTTTGTTCCATCTCTGCCCTGCTCCCTGGGCCGCTTGTCTGGGACTAGTAGTGCGTAATGGAGGGAGAGGTACCCATGTGTTTTGCGGTTTTCGGGTGGAATGGAGTCCAGCTCTTCGGCTGGCCCAGGGCAGCCATGTGTAAACAGCAGGAGTGTGTGAGCAGGTAGGCTGGTGCTGCAACACACACACGCATTCTCATTGCCGAACTTCTATTGCGGTGGCCATGCAGAGATCTAACCTGACTGTGCCTGTTCTCATGTCTGGCTGCAGTATTGCCAGATTCATTCAGGGATTTATGTGATTTCCTAATACGTGCAAGTCTCTTAATGAGTGCAGTTGTTATTGGTGCAAGATGTGTGTGGGTTGGTGCTTGTGCAAGGCAGCGGCCAAGTGTTTCAGGACAGGCAAGGCCTGTGTGACAGGGCAACCCAAGTGTTTTGGGACAGGTGAGGCCCTGCGTGGCCTGGAAGGGCCGGTGTAACGCAGCGTCCTCAGTGCGATGGGTAATTCCTATTGTAATACAGTGGCCTGACGCATAGCTCCCCATGTGTTTTCTGGCTGTAACTGCATGTGTTTTTTTGTGCTGGGTACCAGCACAGACGCATCTACATGCGGGCCCTGTGTGTATGCGCCTCTGTCTCTGTTGGCTGGCTGGCTTGGGGGTGGCAGGATGGGGCACGTCTGCCAGGCTGTGTAAATTCCTCATGGGTCAGGAATAGCAGGTGGAGGCTAACACTCCCAAACCGATATGTTCCAGTGCCGCCAGCAAGGGCAGGGGGACATTACTGAGAGTCAGTCTGCCATGTTAAACCAGGAAGTGAATTGAAAAAGAAAAACTTGAAATGTTTCTGCGGGATTCTGGGTTTATAAGCAGTATTCGCAGTTGACTATGAACTGCTCGATTTCAACTGGCACTCTCTGCTGTCCCTTTGAATATATAGGGTTAATCGTGTGGATTAGGTGTACCACTGTGTTAAATTAGCATTAGCATAACATGCCGTGATGTCCCACATTAATGCATTTGTTTTGACGCAATTCTTCCTGAATGTCAAATGAAGTGCAAGTGAGGAAACAAACCACAGAGATCAAGAAAGGTGCTTCAACACGACAGTTTATATTCATAAAATAAAACAAAACTTGGAAAAAGATCATTATCAACTTTTTTTTTCATTTAGCTCATTTCAAAAGCAGAGGATGCAATCTGATGTGTGGATGAGGGAATGGCTGATATCAACAAGCAGTCATTTACAGTGGAGGCTATTTACACCATTGGAGGGTGGCTGCATAAGAAAGAACCCCTCTACTCCCCCTGGGACAGAAGAAGGGAGGTGTGTCTGGTGGAACAGGGAGAAGATAATCCCACCGTGCCTGGAAATGTCTGCGGGCACCTCAACTGTTGGGGTGTGTGGAGATGATGAAGTGGGACATGATTGTCTCTTCCTGTCCCTCCATCTTTTCCCGTTGTGAATTATTTTAGACCCTGTGGCTTCGGCTGCATATAAACCCATTGCTTATTTGTCAGGATAGGCTGAGTTTAGTTTATCCCATAATCCTTTGCTGCTTCCCTGTGCTCGGTTCGGTTTCCGGAAACCCGTTATTTCCAACATCTACCAGATTGGTGTGTTTGGTGAAACTACTGAAAAGGGAAGAGACTGTTAAATGTCTTCAGCTGCTTTTAAATCCATCAGTTGTCCCATGGAGTGCACAGTGGTTAAATAAATTAAAAAAAGATAAATAAAACGATAAATAATTAAACCATAATGACAGGGGAGGAGTCACATGGAAGAATCAGAGCATCCTGCGGGCTGTCCGTAGTTTCCTCCTCTTTTACGTGACAGTAAGGCCTCTCACACGCTCTCAAGTGTCTCGTCGCCTTTTCTCTGCTCCCTTCTCGATCCTCTGAGAACGGGCCATGCCTCTCTGGTTTCCACGTTGTCCTGTGGTCACTGGATACCGAGCTTGGAGCCTATACCGCACCGATACTCAGGTGAGTAACTGCCAGGCCCCTGCCCTATCTGCATAAAGCTCAATGTCTAATCCTCCAGGGAATGTCCCGGAATCGAAAGCTGGCCCCTGAAGGACACTGGAGCAGGGAACCACTAGGGAAGGTTCTGTGAAGTCTTGCTTAGCCACACCCTCTCTGTGTGTCTGTGCCTCAATTAACAGGCCGTGCCTGTTTTGATGGGTTCCAGCGGGGGGTGGGGCTGGGGAGTGGGGGGTAGCTGCAGTCAGTGCTTTTCATTCTTGGCACTAAAGGGAACTCCGCCTTCTCCTCCTCCAGTAAAATCTATTTGTGAAAAACCCAGAAGAGCAGCCTGTCGACGTGACACACAGAAAAGACCCGTGCTCAACCTCACACACAGCTCATTCACAGTTAATGTCGTCTTACTCCTCGTACGTTTTATCATCTTTTTCAACTATCCGTCATAGAAACAATAATTATAGCAACGCTGACGATAATTATTAACACTGACAAAATGTCAGCAGTTTTTTTTTTTTTTTTTTAAATGAGCAATATCACAATGACTCCGCCCATGCTGTGGTGTCGTTGCCGAGTTCAGTGTCCGCCTCACCCACCCAACCCGTTTGGCCCTGCTTAGTAAGGCCTCCACACAGACTCCTCCAGGCGGCCTCCCCCGGTGGCCATGTTGGTGGGGGAGCTGCTGTGGCTGCCCTCAGCCTCCACCGCCACTTCACTCTGATTGGGCAGGGAGGGGTTGAGGAGGGCGGAGCCGGTGGAGGCGTTGGTGCAGGGCGGCAGGATGCGGGGTGGCGACCGCTCCCCCCCTGACATCATGGAGAACTGGTAGGAGCCCGTGGAGGTGCTGTAGTACAGGTGGTAGGGAGAGGAGCCAGCCTGGAAGGGCCCGCCTTGACCCTGGGCCGAACCGCCCGGGTAGGGTGGGGGCAAGTAGGCATAGCGGCCTGAGGGCGCTGTCATGGCCGACATGCCGATGCCGATGGCACTGGTGACGGGCGTGGCTGTATAGGTGAAGGCTCCGGCCGGATAGTGCATGCGCGGGTCCGAGAAGCGGCCGTCCGGGAGCGAGGGCAACGAGGAGAAGGGCCGCTCTAATCCTGCCATGCGCGGGTCGCTGAACGCAGTGAGGTCCGGACCTGCCGGGAGGAGAAGCGAGGTCAGAGGTTAGGGGGTCGTCTGGCTAAGGATCTGGCCGGGAGCCCAAATATACAAAAAAATACATTTATTTATTTAGCAGACTCTTTAATCCAAAGCAATGTAGAACTGAGAAGGCAGGGACAGATAGTCCCTCGTGCATTTGGGGGGTTAAGGGCCTTATTCAGGGGCCCAACAGTGAGATCATCCTGCCAACCCTGGAACTGGAACCAGCAACCTTCTACTCACAGGTCTATGCCACCCCAATTATATCCCATATTTCTTATCTACGGAATAAACCCTGCTTGTGTGAGCGTGTCATTCACCTGAGAGCCGGCTGGAGAAGTCCGTGAGGGCGGACATGCCACTGGCCCTGCCCGGCGAAATGGGCGTGGCTGGATGGACGGAGGCTGTGGAGATCTGGCCGAGGTATGGATATGACTGCTCGTAGGACCAGGAAGGTGAGGTCTGCATCTGCCTGGAGTCTGAGAGCAGAAGGTCCACGTGACGTTCGGCTCAGAGCGGAAGAGCATTATGTGGGGGCTTTAAGTGCCTCCAGCCGCCAGCCCCCCCCCCCCCCCCAGCAGAACTGGCATACGCTCCAACGGACATGCCGACGTGAAGCATTTTGCTGGCGGCCTGCCCGCCCCCCCATGCACAAGGCCCCACTGACGAGGAGAGTGATATCCGACACGTCCCACATTTGCTTGGGTGGCACTGTGCCCTCCCCACACCCCCGACGTGGGCTGAGAATGGCTGAAACACCATAGGAGTGCCTTATGATTTGGAAATGGGGGTGAGGGGTGGTGGGACTGGGAGCGGAGCTATTCCCATTAACACGGGAAATAACTACCTGTAATGGGGGGAGGGCAATTGCGAGGATATGGGGGCAGAATCCGGGGCACGGTTGAGGGGGGGCGCAGCTGGCACGGACTAGGGGGGTGAGTGAAGCCGTCAGGTGTGAAGTGACAGAGTGGAGCCCAATGCGAAGAGGACACATGTGTCTGCGGGAGGGGGGGGGGGGGCACCCACATCCCGACACCAGCTGCTCTTGATTTTGACCAATATAAAAAGAAAAGGGGGGGGGGGCGTTGGCGGGGGCCTTGAACAACTTAAAAGCAGCTTCCGCTGGCGGGATTCCCGCGGCTATTTCTGGAAGCGCAATCAGAGGCAAGGCGGGCGGGCGTGCGGGCAAAGGGGGGGGTTGGGGGCAGGGTGGTTTGTGCCCCCCCCCCCCCAGTGTGTCCACAAAGTGCCATACAGCCACTTCTGCAAACTGCAGCGGAAGGACGACCGGTGCCTCAGGTGCCGCGCAGACGCAACACGGGGCTGCCAATCCGCAACGGCGCCTATCTGTGCAGGACGTCGGTACACGGGGGGCCCGGATTACCGGCAGCTCCTTACATTTTGTGTCTTTCGTTTGCATTTCCCGGCCAAACCTTAAATTCTGTCCATCGCATCCATCCTGACTATCCCTACGTCCCCAACGCACGCGGCGAGTAGCAGCAGCTGCCTTGCACACCTTTGTCATTATTGCTCTCAGTCAGGGGATTTTCACAGCGCAACTTCCTGTCTCTCAGTTCCTCCTCTCTTCATTCTGCTTCCCTTCTGCCGAAGTACAAAAGCAGTGTGGGGGTGGGAGTGACACTTTCTGCATGAACCCGTATTTCTCCTCCTCGTTCTCACGCACAAGTCAAAGAGGAAGCAAAACCCAATGGAAATGTATTTGTGTGGAATTTCTTTGTTAATGGGAGGGGGCCGTCTATATCGTAATGCACACTAACCGAAACAGAAACGAAAAAGTCCGGTGTGGAGGTTGGAGAGCCGTGCTCAGCAGGGGCCGGCTCAGGTGCATATAAATATCACCATGGAGACAACATCATTATGGGATATCGCTACGCGTCTTGTTTATATGCTCTGCCGCTCTATCACAGGTGGTGTGTCCAGCAAGAAACTGACGACATTTCAGTTAATGAAATCACACGCAAAAACCCTTCACAGCTCATTGTTTGATAAAGACTAAAGCCACTGGAGAAAACGGGAAACTCTAATAATATACAGTAAGTCCCCAAGATACAAACCAGTTCTGCTCCGAGAGCGGGTTTGCATGTCCAATAAAGTTAGCCTAGGCATCCAGCTGATCATGCTCCTAAACCCAACCCTCAGCTCCTACCAAAACATGTACATGTGCAGCTTTTAATGCTTTTAAAAGTTAGTACTTACATTGTTTGTTATAGATTTGTAGTGTATTTTAACAAGAAACAACTGAGAATTTCCATTGTTCTCCATAAGCTGATCTCGCGGTTTACCATTTCAAGCTGTCCTACACTGTATAGGCACAGCTAGACTACCTCTCTCTCCTCAACTCCTATCGAATACATTTACATAAGAGAATTTTAAAGTTGATATTTGTATTTTTGTTATTGATTTCAGGTGCATTTTAACAACCTACAACTGAGTGCCTTTTTTCCCCCATTGTTTTCCGTCAGCTGAACTTGCTAACCGCTCGTGAGGGAGCCTACATTACTCTATCAAGTGCTAGAGAGAGAAATTTGCTGCCATGAAATTTGAAATTCTGGTACAATTTTTAATTTTGCAGTTAGTTAAACAATTTTAAATTTAGTGGGCATGCACGCTTGCATCTTCGAACGTTCGTATCTGGAAGGTTTGTATGTAGAGGAATTTCTGTATTTTATTTATTGGTTTCAGTAATATATATATTCATTGTATCCATCCATCTTTCCTACAGTACATATGGAAAGGCACCATGAAAACCTCCTTCCCTTTTTTAATTAACATGAAACAGGAGGTTAGGCTCATTTGGAGAAGTAGGACAAACTTCTCCAAAAACGTTTTTTTTTTTTGTATAAAAATAAAAGCTTCCATGATTTCTCTGCTGGATAATTCACTGAAGCACTCCAGGGGACAGAAGAACCTCAGGTCCCATCCCTGCACGTCCTGAGTCCTGACACGGCCTCTCACCGGCAGCTCTGGGTCGCCCACACCAGCGTTTCTCAATCTGGTCCTCAGGGACCTCTAGACCGTCTGTCAAGGAGCTGGGAAAGATCAAACACGTGCAGCATCTAGGGGTCTCCGAGGACCATCTTGAGAAACACTGGCCTACACTACAGTCCATCAGTGCTGAAATCCTCGGTCTTCTCAGCTTTCCCAAACACCCATCTCTCCAGTTATCCAGAAATATCTCCACCAACCTCATACTGAACAGTTTAGCCTAAATGCTTCAGCCTCAGTTCTCTTAGAATATGCTACCATAAATGCTGCATAAATACTCACCTGGATGCCTATCATACTACTGTTAGCACTACTGCAGAAAAGTAAGATTACGGTTGGCTCCCATTGGCCAGTTCAAGCCATGCAAGGAACATTCCAGAGCCTGCATCCCTCATTACTGCCCACCACTGATATCAAACTAATGATTTCGCGAATAAAATCTATGGTTATAATAAGCAATGCTCACCAGGGATCTGCGTGGAGCCGCTGAAGGTGGCGCTGTTGAGGGCAGGCCGGGGGTTGGGCGTTGGGGGGTGGTGAGGGCTCCCCCTCATGGCGCTACGCCGCAGCTGCTCCAGCTCACTAAGTCGCTCTGAGAATGCCAGGGGGGCGGGCTTTATGGATTCCTCCAGCTTCTGCCGGTGCCCTGTGGGGCAGAGGGGGCGTCAGCGAGGTGTGTGGGTGGGCGGGGGTGGGCATCAGCAGGACAAAAACCCTACTCACACAGGAGCAATTCTAGGATTTTGTAAGGTGGGGGGCATAAGAGAAGCCATAATTCATACAGAGGGGCCAACCTTATCATGAGCCAATCGTGAGATTGGAATCAGTGAGTGACAGGGGAGAGGGAACAATGCAGGCCAATTAGCTTTCAGCTGGGGCCAGGGCCCCTGTGGCCCCGCCCCTGCATATGTCCTTGCTCTCACACAGAAAAGAACATTAGAGTAAACTGGACTAAGCTAATAACAAATTCACATGCTTAACAGGACATTTCTCACACAGCACCTTTTTTTAATAATCGTGCAGACGCTGAGCGGCCCAATTAAGGCACTTCGTTTAACCATCTCGTTAAAGCCATTTCTGTTTTTCCGTGGCCGGCGAGAAGAGCCGTAGATATAACCAGGCAGCGCCGGTTCCACTTGGCCGCAGACGGGCCCAGGAAAGGGACTGGTGGGCGACCTCACACGGAGACGTGAGAGCGGTGAGGGATTAGCGGTCGCAGGCTGCGAGGGGGACCGCCACGTTGCCCCCCCCCACCCCGCCCCCCCGCCCCGGCCTCTCAGCTGTGAGAAACCATCACACCCCCCCGCACCAACAGGCCTGTCCCACGGGGAGGAAGTCCTGCTGAAATCAGAGCTCCCGTCTGAGCTTTTGAAGACGTAGCCAAGAGGCCCTGGCTGACTAGACCCAGGATTTCTGAGCGGCGCCGGTTCCCTGGATGGCGACCAAACTATGGGCCTGGCGGAGCAGTGAGGCCATGAGCAGCCGCATGACGCGGCAGTGGCGGTAAACAAGCCTTCCTCATAAAAGCCGCAATAAAACAGGAAAAAAAGCCGCAGCTGTGACGAGTCAACGGGCTCTGAAACCACACTGATTGTACTGTGTCACCTACTCGTGTCACCGGGAAACCACAACAATCTAGATAACGGGGGAACCACACGGCACTCTGCAAACTGAGCAGCCATGCCAGCCCTGTCCGGTTCTCGCCGGTACCAAACCACGGGTCCTTCTTATGAGGCAGGGCGGGTATCTGCATGCATGCAAACAAAAACAGACCCGGCGTGGCCCAGATGGGCTGCAGCCGGACTTCCTCTCCTGGTTCTGATTTACCCGATTCCCTCTCATTTCCTCCCCGCTGTCTTGGATTATTCTGTGAAAAGTATTTTAAAAAAGTATTTATTTTAAAATGTAACGGACCTCAGCTAACTGAAAATAGTCTCTTCACACACAGTGCGGCTAGGATTCAAACCCACAACCTTGTGCTACCCATAGTGTCAGAGATTTTATTATTGTGATTATTCTTTTGTTGTATTATTATACTGCTTATTTAACAGTAAATTACAGCATTTCTTATTTACAGCTGGATCGTTTACTGGAACAACTGAGATTAAAAACAGCGGGTTCTTCTGGGACACAATCCTATGACCATGTGTATGCTGAACCCCCCCCCCCCCAGAGCACTCACGGCGTGGCTCGCGGGGGCCGTCCACCGTGATCTTGATGGCACGCTGGTAGGTGGCCACCTGGGGTGGATTGGTGAAGACGGTGATGGTGAGGGTGAAGCTCTTCCCTGAGGTGGAAGAACAGAGGGGTTAGAACAAAGCACCACAGAGATGCGCCCTCACCCCTGCACAGACAGTAACGTCGCGGAGTCGCCAGGGACAGATGTGACCTCACCCACGTTTCATCTCGGAAAGCCGCTCCGATCCTCACCGACTTGCGGCGGCAAATGTAACATTTCTGGAGCATTCCCTGGTCATTACACGCCCATGCTGGGCAGGAGGATAACAATGGTCCCTTCACCAGAAAATTAAAACGTACTGGATCCTAACGTTCCTTTTGATACTCCCATAAATACTGAACCGGTTGTTTCAAACATGAAAGAAATAATTCATTTCTCACATGTGGATCTGCATCTGATTTTTGCCTTTTTAACTTTACGAGCCTTTTTTCCTTCCCCCCCAAAAAGGGGAAAAACGGCCGAGGAGGAGAAATTGGGGGGGTGGCTGGTAGGCGGGCCCCCATGCCAAGTCATCACTGCAGTGACGACCCTCACCATGGTAACCTAATCATGCCACAAAGTGCCGCGTGTCTGGCCTGCCTCCGGCCCTGTCTCGCCACGCCATCGCCACGCCATCGCCACGCCATCGCCACGCCATCGCATCGCCATCGCATCGCCTGGCCCGGAGGTGGGTGAGGCCATCTGAGGTGGAAGGCGGCAGAATATTCCTCGGTGTCATCCTCTAACAGCCCCCCACCCCCTCCTACCCCCCGGCCCGGTCGCAGACATATAAAACCGTCAGGGTGGGCGGCCCCTCATCGCCTTTACGCCCATGGCACCGTCTGCCAGCTTCCTGGCGCTGCCCAGGTGTCATGTGTGCCCCGTCTCCCAAAATACACCCTGCCGGGATTAACCCCCCCCCCTCGGGGCAGTTCAGACATAAATATTACAGTGTGAAGATGCCGGGAGCGAGAGGCTTTAGCGCGGTGGCGGTATGAGCCCATCCACCGCGGGCAGAGACAGGCGGACAGACAGGAAGTCCGTGAGACGGACGGGAAAAGCTGCCCTCCCCCCCAGCAAAAACACCCCCGAAGAGGCTTGATGCAGCACGTGTAACATGAAAATAAATGAGACATGACAATGACAAAGTAAAAATCTGCCCCACAAAATTTACTTTTTTTTTTCCACAACACCTGTGTTGAAAATAAGGAGCAATGTGACTGCCTGTCCAGCGGCAGAGCAGGGTCATTGCCGTCCCGGGGGGTGGGGAGCATGGGGGGGGGGGGTTGATGGGGTGATTGAGAGATGGCTAAAGGAGGCCAGTTCTGAGGTTTCAGATGGGACATCCTGCGGTGTGGATTTGGGAGAGCTCCAGCAGAGAGTCGCTGTAGCGTAAGCTGATGCCGACGGTGAAAACTGCCTGGGAATCCCAGGGGATGGGAGGTAGTGGGGGGTCGGCAATGACCCGAAGCAGGGCTCCAGCACCGCAGCCCCGAAATCCTGCCGCAGTACCCCACCCAAATCCCCGCAGCTCACAGCCGACCCGACTCCACCAGGCCCCAACCCGCCCGCCTGTATGCTATTTTCGGCTGTGAGTCACTGCCAACAGCCGCGGGCATACGGATGCGGAAACGCCCCACGAACTGATTTCACTTCTGCTGTCCGGACTGACGATGTCACCGGCGTGTACAGGAAGCCGGCGAGACGCACACGCATGCATCGTTCGCGGACATCGAAAAGGATCACTTCAGGCGTGACCCTGAATGCGGAGGACGGCTCCCAGAAACGGTGTCTGAGCGGGCGACGGGGAGGGGCTGCCCTCTCCCCACGGCAAGGTTGTGTACACAGCCAGCGTGTTGACTGAGGTGTGCAAACACACTGACACTCATCACTTCCCAGACACACAAAGCTAAAAACAGAGAGAGATGAAGTATTCATAACTTAAACCTCTTCTCCTCATCCAACCCCAAGCCATTATTGAAGATATTTATTCAGCACACCTTTTGTGTTACATTTGGAATGTTTTTCTGCCTACGGACTGTTCCAGAAAAGCCCTGTAATCGCTGCCATCATGCCTGTGACTTCACAGCTTGGTATCTGGTCCCGTATACACGCCGCCACACTGTAAACAGCACGCACACACGGTCGCATGCTAAAAGACGCCTCCCGCTTTCATTCCTCTTTTTCCCCATTAGCGTAACAGGTCGGAGCGTGCTCGACTGCCTGGCTACAGCCGCTGCCGTCCTATCTGCCTTCCTGATCTGGACCACATCTTTCCGCCCGTTCCCAGAAACAGGAGCTAAACCCGCAGGTCTCTCGGACGGCTACCCGCGTTATCGACATCCCCATCACAGGGCACGGAAAATGCGGTTACAAGTGTCTGCGAATTCCCTTTGATGCAAAAGTCTACACACAATTGCAATAGATAATACGAAAGCATTTGCTTATATTGTTTGTAATCTAGATACCAAGAGCGATGTATTTAAGCATCAGTCTTAACTTGTTGACTTGAGCCTCACTGGGTAATAGAATAAAAACACAAAGTGATTTAAAAAAAAAAACCTGCTCTTCTCAAAGTTCCCCCAAAATAAAATATAAACATCTCTCCTTTTACAAAATTTCTTCAAACTTCTAAAAATTGAATAAAACCTAAGCAAAACAAAATTAATTCTGTGAGGAGAGTTTACATCCACATCCTAAAACTGTAGATTGTTTTATGTGATACTGCATATTTACATTTCATGCAATATGTAAATTATTATTATATTATTATAGCAACAGCGGATGGCACGGTGCCATTGGCAGGAAGATCCCCTGTGTATCTTATGGCCCAATGGGCATGTCACCCGTTCCTGTTATGACGGGTCACTGGTTTGATTGAATGTGAGGCAGTTTTGTAGCAAGACCTAGTCTATAACGACAAGCTACAGCACGGCAGGCTGGTCCCCGCAGGAAAGTGACACCAATCGAGTTTGTGTGCTTTGCTTGTAATCAGAAGCTCACTGGTTCAAATCCCTGGGTTGGCAAACTGATGACACTGTTGGCACCTCAGTAAGACCCTTAATCCCCAATTGCTCCAGGGTATTTGTCTGACGCTTTCAATTGCACATCACTTATAAAACGGATAAAAATGTCTGCTAAATAGATATTGTAATTGTTACATAGAAAATGATTAATTTTCAGCTACGGTGATTTTTTTTGCAGAGAAAATTCAAGTGGCTGATACATGACTTTTGTTAATACTTCCGAGATTTGTTTTCCTTATTTAGGGGCAGATCGAAATCAAACCAAAGCCGGCAGGTTTGGGGCTGCCGTCTCCTGAACGTGGAAGACCCACCCCAACCCACCCCCTCCATCCCGAGATGCGGGCTCAGTGCGTCTCTCACTTTGATCCCCTTTGTTAGCATCCTGCTACGCTGCCGGCAGAAGGCTAGTGAATTATGTTTCCTGGAGCGCCCCACCCCCCCATCATTGCTGGAAAAGCATTGCCTAATGGCATCATTCTACACACCCAGGGTTCCTTTGAAAGCTTTCATGTGTCATCCGAAGCCAGGCGCTGAGTCCAGCCGCTATTAATTAGCATCGCTCTCTGAGTGCTGCGCCGCCCGCCCGGGGTGGCCGTGTTGCCCCAGCATCTCCTCGCACGCTCCCAGCCCAAACGGGCTCTTTATCCCATAGGGACCCCACCCCCAGCTCTCCGCGATGGCCGCTCCAAGGGCTCTTCCTCAACAAAGTGATGCCCCCCCCCCCCCACACACACACACACACACCCCCGGGTTGAATTACAAGCAGCGGTGAAGACCGATGAAGAGAGCAATACATACGGTGATGGACGCGGCAGGGAGCGGGAACGGCCATGGTGGGGGGAGGGGATCATCTCAACACCCCCGCCATTGAAACAGGATTCATAAAAAAAGCTGAGCTTTGATAAGCTACATAAGAATCACACCCATCAAGAATTAATGAAATATCTGGCCTCTGTTAAGTGACTCCATTATCTGCCACTGCACCCTGGGCGTGTGGAGAGGAATGTCAGCGGGGTTTACAACCCTGAGGGGCTTTAAAGGCCCCCGCAGATGGACCAGGGGGTATCGTCACACAGCCCAACAGGCAGGGAAGTAATACAGATCGGTGTGCAGCGTCATGCTAATGCTGCTATTCAAAGCTATGCTGTTTATGCTGCTGCATTACTTATTGTTTACATATAAGTATATAAACCCTTGTGTCCAGCCCCCCTGTTTCACACTGTCTTGTGATTTGCCCTGTAAGACCCTCCCCTTGTCTCCTGCTCTCTGTATGTTGCACCACACCATGTACCTGTATTTGGATACTATGACAATAAAAACCACTTGACTTATATTGGTCACCCCGGCCATGTTCACCCAATCTATCAACGCTCAGTTATGGCCAGGTCACCTAATCCTCGGCGACACTGAACACTACAGACTTAACACACTCCAGTGCTCCATCGCTTCAAGGTTAAGGACTGGAAACTGAAAGCTTGTTTGCTTTTTTGAACGAGAAAAATAAATCCTGGACCTGCAGTAGCATAAATAAGCTCATGCGTATTACGAAGAGGTAAATTTCCATTTGACTATGTTCAAGGAGATATCGATAACCACACTAAACACGCCCCCCGGCTCCTGGCATCGGCACCGGCTCCCGTGTCAGCTTACGCCGGCGCGTGTGGGCATGCGTGCGTGCATGCGTGCGGAGAGACATCCCGTTTCCTCACCTCTGCCGCTGCGTCCCACGAACCTCAGGTCATTGAAGCGTGCCGTCTGGTTTTTGATGGCGGCTGTGGCGTTCCGCAGCTCCGCAGAGTAGTTCTCGTCGTTCCCGGCCATCACCGTCACCAGCGTGCCGTCCGGGATGTCGCCTAGAGCGACCACCTGTTGGCAGACAGGCCGGTTAGGCTGTGCACAGATAAGAGCCCTCCGCGCACCGCAGGAACGTTCGGTAGCGTGATCTCCAAGGCTACACCGCACGACATGAGGTCTAATTCCTGCACAAAGAGCCAGTGCATCAAAACATTGCCAAAATACAGAGTCACACAGGCACATAATGGGAACAAATGTATGAATTTAATTAAGGAATTGCTGAGATGGCGCTGTTACCCAAACTGTCACGCAAAGCAATCAGCGTTACCATAAAAAATATGCGGCAGTTGTTATTATGTGAAAGAAAGAAATATCGATGAGAACATAGCGAAACTATTTAACTAACCGCTACCACAAAAATAATTATGCATCCCAGTGTCGGATATTTAGAGTTCATAATACAACAATCAAAAGCAAAAACTGAAAGTAATAGTGTAATTTTTTTGTTCTTTTTTATTATTCTGCTACTAAAAACGAGAAGTGATACGAGTGCAGCACATCAGCAGCATTCTTTCGTAATAAGACGTTAAACTCCGCTCTCTTTGTGACATAAGCCCAGGGGGGAACTCGGGAGCTCAGCAAACGGCTCCACACCCAAGGCAAATAAGTGCCAAAGGTGGACCGTTTTCGCATAAAATGCTTTCGGTTAGATGCGAGCGCTGGTTATATATTACATAAACCGTTTTAATGTGGCCCTTCAGGGATAAGTGTAGATTTAATATTAAAGGGAAAAAAGCAATTAAAATTCCAGATTTTTCAGTCGCGTGCCGCAACTCTTCGCCTATAAACTGCGAAAGTCCGTACGGCGATGGATCAGTAAGGCGCCGAAAGATGCTGATGTGAAATTTGTATAAAGTTAATATAATTATGTTATGCACATAGCACTCAGTATTGCATTACATACCTAATGCGTAAATTGTTTTCAAAATGACAGTAATAAACAGTAATAAATTATTAGCAATAATGTACATTATTTATGCCAGGGGCGTCAGAAGCATTTTGAATGTGGGGGGACACACTGGCATAAAACTAATATTTTATGTTAAATGTGGGGAGGTCCAAACGAATAATTATGAAATGTGAGGGGGACACGTCCCCCTCAGATTTAATGGCGACGACACCCATGATTTATGCACTGATGGTGAACGGTTAGAATATTATAAATAAAACTGTGGGAATATGCTTCTCGTGGTGTTTCTTGAAATAACGAAATCATGGCAATATCATATCCTAATTAAAAGCCGTTTTTCCGGGTAAATGAATACGGATAATTAAATATAAACCGTTTAAACAAGAACTGTAGCTCTGTAACTGTTTATGAAAGCTTTCAGTCAAAGACCAAAATATTTTTATTTTATAAATTGTATATATTTTCAGAAGCTTAAATACTAAACGTTTATATACCCTGTAACCTTGAATAAAAATCGGTGACAGTATTACCTTGAAGGCAATGGGTAGCGTCTTGTTGCAGCGCCAGTGAGTGGGCAGGACGGAGCAAAGAAAGTTGGGGCTGTCAGTACGGACCAGCTCCCCAGGGTGGTCCGACAACACCTCCACCATACTCCTGTCCGCTATTCGCAGCTTCCCCACCAGGGCGGCGCCGCTGCTGTCGTGAGCCCCCAGAGGCAATCCTTCAGTCATCTTTCCCGGGCTCAGGGTGGTGGATGGGGGGGTGAAGCGGCGCCCTGGGGCCGGGTCTGAAACAGACGGCGATACATAACAATGGTAGAGAGAGACAACCCGCACCATTACGCCAACAATCATCATACTCGATCATCGATACTACTCCCTAAACGCTTGAATTTAAATAAAATGTGTTAATAACATTAATTTTTTAATTTAAATGCCGGACTCAGCTATTGGTTACCCGGGCCCATAAGACAGAATCCTCAACATAGCCCCAATTATACATGCAGCAAAACAGAGGCAACTTTCATGCATACGTACAGGCGCACTGTCAACTAGTCATCCATAACCGATGGCACACACGTGTGGTTTGAAGTGTATACATCAGGTCCAGTGTACTCCAAAGAGGAGTGCGCACAGAGGCGACATTGAAAGCTTTTAAAAGCGCACACGCCATCCTGGCATGCATTTAGGGATTTCTAAAAGTGGACGGGGTTAAAGTGCGCCTGCATATCCGTCTCTCAGTGCGCGTCTCTGTCAGTGTACCCCAATTAATTATTATTATTATTATTAGTGCTATATAGTTTGAGGAAAAAAGTAAACAAAGAAAAGCAAGTAGCAACAGTTGGCACAAGTAATTGTGCACATTCACTCTGTCATCACCGATGAAGAACGAAGGTAAACATCCGTACAGTCGATGGTTGCACAATAAAAAGTGAAGCAGGAAGTCTAGAGAGTTGAAATTGTTTTTACAACAAAACGCGGAATCGGTCTGGATTGTTTAGAACTTTAAAATTATTTGGCAATCAAATATAAAACATCATACCGTATTTGGCGTCCCAAAGGAAAACCATTTGTGCCTCGAAGTAATGTCCACTTAGTACTTTTTAATGACTCGGGATCCACTTCGCAGTCTGATCATCGACAGATTTCCAAAACCGTTGATGTTAGATGAGGAAACATGAAAATCTAGCGTTTGACAGCCCTTGGGGTCGCTGGTCAAAGTCAAAACACAATCATCTAACTAAGCCGATATAAATTGAACCGCTTGCGCCGCACGCATGTCGGTGCTGCTTTTCGCCATAAGGTGAAGTGAGAGAAAAGGAACGAAAAAAACAAGCATGCCAGCTGCTTTTTTTTCGTTCTTTCTTACACGAACAGCAAACTCGATTGCTCCAGCAGACACCCTGTGTGAGTCACTGTCTGTCGCGATTGCAGACTTCCTGGACCGGGCAGCCTGGGGCGTCTTGCGTGCGGCTAGCAGGTGAGAGATGGCCAGAGACGCTCAGACAGTCCACTTTAACAGCACCATCACACTTTAAAAACAAAGTTATGTATCACAATCTCCGCGAAACAAGTTCATACACGTCCTAATCTACAACTGAACGCGACCAAAATTGGAACAGTTTGGCCTCTATGGAAGTTCATAACGTTTAGAAATTAACGAATGTTACAGTTACATCAAATTACGCTCAAATAAAAATGACTTATTCCCCATTTTTTCTAATTAGTTTTTTCTTTATTATTACCGAAACTCAACATCTATGAGCTGGATTCTCAAGCTCTAATCGAAAGATCCAAAAGTGGACTGCGCAACGATCCGTTTCGTCTATAATCCGCTATACGTTCCCCATCTTTTGCGTGATTCCCATGTATGCTGATCGACGTTTAAAGCTCGCAGCGTAACATATCTGGAAAGAGCTAAAGAGTGTAACTTTTGATTTTTTGGCGTTCTTCCGAGTGTCATTTATTCTGCTCAGTACCAGGCAAGCAGAGTCCTGCACAGCAATCCGGGCACACCCCTGGATGTATGTCCCAAAGAGCGCAGCTGGTCACCCAGCGTCGCATGAATGAACCTTCCGGCGGCGGCCGCCTGGCTTTTTACTGCCAACTGGAAGTACAGGAATGCCGCTGCTGTGAGACTCATTTGCATATAGCGCGGTCTGGACCAATAGCCGGGCCATACGATGCTTGGCCAATCCGAAGAGTGCGTGGAAGGCGCAGGAGCCAAAATGGGCAGTCCTTTCCGGCAACTAAATCCCAAAGATTCCGGGCCTACAGTTTAAATGCTGAGGGATTATACAAATGGTTGGTTCAGCAATAAAAAAAAAGATAAAATCTAGCAGTATATATAAATGTGGTATCACACAGTTAAAAAAACATATACATATACGAAAAATTTTTGTATTGACAGTTGTTCAAATATACCGTTATAGTATGATATGACTCGGGGTTAGTGTTTCATATAATTCTTACCTTAACTAACTTAAACACTGCAAAAACAAAAAACGTCAAGCGCGCCTGTACTATCAATTGCAATTCCTATAAAATAATAACCCTTAAATAATAACCATTAAGCAGTCTGTGACCCCTGTAAGGGTCATAGTACGAATACACGGTAGATAATAAGAAGAAGAAGAATAGCAACAACAACTGGTGACCGTGTACTTATAAATTTCACATTCAACATTAATTACACTCATCATTATTTAGGGGGCTACCATCAGAAATGGGATTTTCTCCTCGGACCCTGTAACACAACAAAACATGACTCGCTACATTCCGTAATTTCCTCTAATCTCTTGTAAACGCTGTCAGTTAAAACAACAGCTCTTTTCTACGTCATCGTATCCTATATGATTGTAAACTAACGACGACGACATTAACGTCATTCGATTAATTTAGTTAATACAAAATCCCAGTTCAATTCATGTCCTGACTTGCTTGTCTTTGCAAAGAAGTATCGACAGAGGGCAGCAAATGACTAGCTGACTTGAGACAATGACTTGCGTAGCTAGATGATGTGCGTTTTTTTACGCTTCATCCACGTCTTCATAAAAGACCTTGCTGTGTTTTCCCTTTTGTCTATAATTTGGATTGTTAAAACTCTGGGACCATTGTTCGAGGCTTCGCCATGGCTCCGTGAGTGGAGCTTGCACGTTTTCCCCATGTCGCTATGGTGTTTCTTCCTGGTACTTTGGTTTCCCCCCATAGTCCAAAAAGGCTGAGGTTAATAGATTAATTGGAGTTATCAAATTGCTAGTAGTTGTACATGCAAGGGCACCATAAGGGGGGCAGGGGGTTAGGATGATTCCAAGAGCCCCTGGATGGATGGGTGGACAAACAAATAGTTCTTTGGCATTCTACATAAGAACTGAATTTATATGGCTTAATTTCTGTGAAATGTTTTGTTTAATACTATTAACTGAAAGATAATTTAAAAGGATGAACTTGATATACGTGCTTTCCTTTCTGGCATGATTGGAGAACACCTTAGTCAGATGGCGTTCCCCTGAAAATGGTACTCTAAAGTTATAATTATGTCTATAGTTTAACGCATGCTTTGTCTTACTGTGAAATTTCATAAAATCAAAATGATTCAGTCCTATAGATGCGAGTAATGAATAACTAACCTTTCACTGTAGTTAGTAATTAGATGAGCATTTGATTGCATCTGATAACCCATATGGTACTTTACATGGACTCCCTCAGGGACACAGAAATATATGACGATGCGAATTTGAGAGTCTACACAGACGTATAGTTTCATTCGCCTTGTCCGTTTACTTAAGAGCGACGAGGCTCGCCTTCTCTGCCCGACTGAATTAAGATTACTTAGTCGAATTAGTTTGACCGAAGAAAAGAGACAATCTGACATCCGTGTCATACATTTATGCCCAGGTAGCCTGTCACTTGTCCTTTTTTAACGGGATCGGCCCTCTTTTGAAGCGTTTCGCCACAGGGCCGAGCATAAAAAATGTAACATCGTACTTCTGTATGAAGCCAGTTTTCAGGCGGCCTGAAAACCCGGTTATTTGAAGTGACGACTCCTTTCACGTATGCTGTAAAATAAGTTACATTTTCTACACTGAACGCTGTATTTTGGTGTAATGTAATAGCACACCAGTTTTCAGCGCAGTAAATAATTAGTCCACTTACGCCAACGATTGTTTGTATGTTATTGACAGCATCCTCCATTCCATAGCTAGAACATTTCTGAATTGTTATGCATTTGTTTCATTATTTACAGTGTGCTCTGACGGCACCACAGGACATGCTAGGGGCGACGTTGCGGATGGCTAGAAGGAGGCAAGAAGAAAGATCGCGTTTTTTATATATTGCCAGAGGCAGCAGTAGGTTGCATAGAGGAGGTGATGAAATTTTTACTCCTTAATTGGCCCGTTTTAAATCCGAAGTGTGCAGTGATTCTAAAAACAACTCCGTGTGTTTTAAATGTTTTTTTTTTTTTTACTCTAGCGCTGGTTTGAATAATGTGATGATAAAGAGGACCGATTTCACTGTAACTGGAGTGAAAAGTTTGATCACATCCATGAAATTATCCCAAACTTGAGTTTGCTTTTTAAACTGGTTTTGATGATCGAAAGGCTGAAGATGCCCCGGTCCTCGATATCTTAATATTATATATGCATTATGTTTAAACATGATGACAACGCAATCATTAATCATTACCACGAGGGACACACAGCACAGTTTTAAACATCAGTGCTCAGGAACAATTAAGATAGTTAACTTTCTTACTGTTAAGGTCATTTTATTTAGGGGTACTGTCATGAACGGAAAATCCTGCGAGTGAAATGACGCAACTGAGTAGATCCTATTTAAAAACGGCGAGGAAATACGAAACACAAATTCCTGTATATATCAATAAGCTCAGTTTTTTTGTATGGTTCGCATATATATATATAATTTTTATATATATATATATATATATATATATATATATATATATATATATATATATATATATATATATAAATTTGAACAACAACATTAACAATAATTATTAACATAATTTGATTGCCTTGAAATGTCTGTTAACCGATAAAAGTTTCAATCGCTTTCTTTATAAGTTGTTTAAAAACTGCATTAATTAAGCACCTTTATTATAAATCATCATAAGGCGCCCCTGTACCGGATAGCCGTTTGTGGGAGGTGAATGATAGATACTTATATTTTTACATGTGGATGTGATACATGATACACAAGAATAAACTTAAGATGTCTATAAGAATCGAATAACATTTCTTTAATCGAATCTGCAATGTAAAACCAGAAGGAAATAGCCATGTAATACTATATTGCTAAACCAATTCCAAGAGTATACATTCGCGTTTTTATATACAGGTAATTAATAACATCCCCATCGTAATGACGGCTGAAAACTGAGGGGGAAATTGATAAGTTTTACATATCCATAGATTAAAACGCAGACACGTATGAGCGTCTGCGAATTGTAGCGAGAAATTCTAATGTAGTCTGGTAATAAAAAATACCGTAATTAACACAAATGATGTGGTGTCTTGTAGTTTGTGCCAGTTATTTGTGGTATTCGCGACGCTTTGAAAGTGTCAACCTCAAGGAAATACATGAAATAGTAAAAGAATCAGAAGACCTGCGGAGTCTGCAAAGGTAGCGGTACCTTTTTCACTCATTTTTAACACGAATGTGTATCTCAGAAGAATGATCCACACGCCACGAGGTCATTGACTAATACACGTATATATACTTTTGTTGGTGTAACTTCAATTCTGACAGCATCGGCCTCACTGTGCACAAACAAGCATAATTTCGGACCTCACGTAATTGCTGAATTACACAAATTATATACTCTCACACATATCACACATATATCAAGCATTCATACTGTGCTGAAATTCAAAACAGACAGTAAACGTATGTATTAAAATGGCCGCGATATTAGGCCTATTATCTGGACTTTCTAGCTGTGTTTAGTACGTTGTCAGTAGACTTTTCAGGCATACATGGATTTATGAAGGTTTTTTTAAATATTCAAATCCAAACTACAGGCTGCTGTTGCATCAAATAAAATGAATAGAACATAAATATCCATGACAATGAAGAGGAAGATCTTTAAGGAAAGAGACAAGCGAGGATGAAGAGGTGTGACATTACCAAAGCTGGTGCGGCTGTTCCTCATGAGACACATGGCCCAGGACCAGGGCCCGGAGGACCCAAAGTGGCCTGTGTTCATGCTTGCGTCTCTCAGAACCGGGACAAGGGACCGAACACTTCTATGCTTCCTCTGAAAGGTACACCCCGGAGACACAGAACTCCAAAGCCATCCTCTCCTTTTATATCCGCCATAACTCCCATTACTAGGTAATGGGGACAAACTGAAAAAAACGAAAGGCCCCCTCATGCCTGATATGTTCCTCACACTAACTGTGGCCACAGGAGACATTCGTTTGCCCAAGGCAGTTTGAACCCGGTACTTAACTGTAGCCTTGCTGCCCAAATGATTTTCTTCTGCTTCTAAAATGAACTTGATAGCGCGAATAAAAGAGTGTGAGGAACCGATCGTGATGTTTAAAATAAGCTTCATTAGTGTTTTGTCCCTCAGTGCAAGTCAACTCCACTGGGTATCCACCTAGGACAGGCTAAGAAGGATGGGGAGATCGTAAATACTACCGGAACAGAGATTTTAATTTTTTTCTCAAGTTTCAGGTAAGTCTTCCTTCCATCCATCGTCGAACCTCTTATCCTGGTCAGGATCAAAGCGAGACTGGAACCTATCTGGGGCAGCCTGGAGTCCACTCTGGATGGGGATGCCAACCTATCACACGAAGGGCTTTTTGTGTATTTCTCTAATACAATGAAAATGTTCCTCTGAGCGGGAACAATTAAGGCGGATGCTGTGTGGGATTCCAGCCTCTCTAGCTCAGTGTTTATGTCTTCTGATTGGGAGGCCACGCTAACAGCCGCAGTAATGGAAACAGCAGTGGCATCAGACATTCAAAGCTGAAAGGTGGTTAGATTATGGTCTGTACTGCTGGAAAAAATGGCCTCTAATGGTACCCAAGATCAGAGAAACAAGAATCCTCACAACTGCAAGCCTCAAGCATCTTTAGAAAGTTTA